ACTCACTTGGTTTATATGGTTTACAAATTTGAGTTGTTCATCAAAAATGACCCCCAAATCTTTTATAGAGGAAGTATATTCTAAGTGCTGATCATTTATGTTGTATGATGTATCGAATTTCCTACCAACTCTTGAGAAAGTAATAAAATGGCATTTATTTACATTAAGAAATGAGTTATTAATAACACACCATTCATGAACTTTATCTAGATCGTCTTGAAGGAGAATTTGGTCATTGTATGATTTTATCGGTCTGAAAAGTTTCAGGTCATCCGCAAACATTAAAAATTCACTGTTCTCTAAACAGCATCCTATGTCATTCACAAAAATATTGAATAACAGGGGTGAACAATGTGATCCTTGTGGCACTCCAGATATTACTAATATATCACTTGATTTGCATCCTCCAATTTTAACCTGTTGTGAACGACCGGCCAAAGAACCACCAAACCAATTTTCCAAATATTCTGTAAAACCAAAATTTCCGATCTTCTTCAACAGAATATTGTGATTTATTCTGTCAAAAGCCTTAGAAAAGTCAGTCATTATTTTGAATATTGAGGACCGCTTTCTTATTTGAATACCTGCATTTATTGGTGACTATTCAAGTTAACCCTCAATAGCAAAGTTTCCTAAAGATCCAAACCGCTGTCTCTTTCTTGGAATGCTTCAAGTTTTGTTAAAATATTATATTTGATGGGATAATTAAAAAATAATTTCAAATCTGTGTTTTGATGGATAGTTAAATTTTTTGTCTAAATATTTTTGGTCAGTATCGCCGGTTTGCTAAAAATATACCGTTAACTTTCACTTAAATTTTATAATTTTCTTTCAATTCAGTGTACAAAAGATCTATATAATTTATTGAAAAACTCTGGTGGGATCTTGATTTTCAAAATAATAATTGTATCAGTCCTAGCATGACTGTCTAAACATTATTCTGCATCTTGCCTAATTAAATTTTGTTTTTTATGTTTACTAACATTATATCAAAAGTGAATTTTTACTAGAAGTTTTTTTACTACAATATTTTTAGTACTTTGTTGTATTCCTATGCAGGTCTTCATTATTATTGGGTGTTAATAAAGCAAATAATTAAACAATAACAATAATTTCATTAATTCGGACTTCAATTGTCTGATATGATGATTGAAAATCTCCGAAATAACAAATGAAAATTATAATGAATAGTTGAAAATAACAATTATATTAAGCAAAAAACCCTGAAATGAAATTACAGTCATCACGTGAAGACGATTGTGGATACTAAATATCAAAATGGCGTGAAGTAACTTAGCTTGAAATCTTTTAATTTCTATTTCATTTTAATTATTCTATTCTCAATTATTTGCTTAATTTTTTGTTATTGTAATTTCATTTCAGAGTTTTTTGCTTAATATAATTATCATTTTCAGCTATTCTTTTTAATTTTCATTCGTTATTTCAGAGACTAGAATTGACTGTGTGGGGTTGAAACACTAATGGTTCAGGGATTATAATTGAAAGATGGTTTTCTTCCTACAGTATTTAAAAACTTTTATTTTCTTTCGAAAAATTAAAAATTTTACAATGTAACACATTTTTTATAGATTCATCAGTTTTCAAGTTCATACATTCTCAAAGTTCTAGTAGCGCCCTTTCCTTGCCGCACATACCTTCAATAACATATCTTCATACACATCACTAAAATCCATCTCACTGAAACAAAAAGTTTTCATTTGAGATAGAATGTATGTTTGATAAACATGTATGCAATGTTAGATATCGAAAAGTATTTTTATTGAGTATTTTAGGTTGTAAAGTTACAAAGAACAAGATTATGTATTGCGTGTATGTTAAATACTTTACCGATAGCTGCAGCATAGGTGGAGGTGATGGTTTCCTTCTCAACAAGTTGTCCCTCAAATTCCTCTCAAATGAAATTCTTTCTCTGTAACCTGTCAGTTGTACACGCCATTCATTTGATGAGTTTTGTTGTTGTGTGTTATGGTTGCTTATGTTGTTCTCTTGGATGAGATGATTCATTTTGTTTAAAAAGAAGCTTTTGCTATGCCTTATTCTTTTTCTCATCATCCTCTTCACCCCCTCTTTTTATTGTATACATTTTTGACTTCAGATTTACACTCTTTTGAAATTCTTTCATTATTTCCATCTTTCATCAAACCTAAAATTTTTTTATATGCTGATGAAATTTCAAATTTGTTATTTACAGCAAAGTCAGAAGTATAAAATGTATGTACTTCTTTTTTATTTCTTTAATATGTTTATGTCATCGGTGAAAAAGTGGTAAATTGGTGAGTCAGTATCTACATCTAACAATTCGTGTTTTCAATTGGAAGTCATATAAAATGGTTTTTGAAATTTCCAAAACACTAAAACCTACATAAATGAATGGGTTTATTCAATTTTGTACTGACTTTACTCAACTCAATTACTATCATATNCTAAACTAAACTAAACAAATAAACAAACATCAAATATTTTAGATCTCATTTGTGCCTCATTAGGTGATTTTCTGTAATCCTCATTACAGACATCTTTTCTTTTATGTTATATTCCCGGAAAAAAGTCACCACTGAAAATTCTCTAAATGATCACATGTTTCAAAGCACGTAGGTTAGGTTAGGTCAAAAGTGAGTAGGACTATTCGACCCTCCACCGCAACCCGCAAGGGTTTATTGCGGCTCATACCTATTCACACTGACCAAATAAACCCAGCTTCTTGACGAAACCGATTAGTTTATATATTGAGTGACCTTTCAGGTCAGATGGTAAAAGTGTGGTTCTGCCAAACTCTGAAAACCTGCAGCGAGGCAGGCACAAAGTATATGCTCTGCTGTTTCTTCATTTTCCAAACAGAGGCGATACACACTGCCTTCCGACAGTCCAAATCTCTGCATATGATGATTCAAATAACAGTGACTTGTAAGAAGGCCTGTTAGACATCGTAGTTCATCCCTACTGTAGTCCAACAACTGTTTAGTATCAAGTTTCGAAGGGTGAATAAACGCCTGGGAGTGAGCCAATCCTAGAAGATTTGCCACAAGCTTGCTACCAGCTTAGACGTTGCTTGGTAGGAGCCAAGAGCTTCCAACACCGCTTGACTGTCCGAGAAAATTTTTATTGACTTGTGTTTGAGGTTGGATTCTACCAATCTCTCCGCACACAATTTTATAGCATATACTTCCGCTTGTAATGCTGTCGCATAGGTCTCTAGGCAGGTTTATATCTCTGTCCTGGGTCTGCAAAAACACCTGCACCAGAGCCTGAAGGTTTTTTGATCCATCTGTTAACCGACAACTATTTGCTCTTAATATTTCCTTCTCCCGAAGGAACCAGTCCTCTACTCGGGAATAGTACTTTATAAGACAGTAGGTACGTAGTTGACAGTTGGAAGCATAAAGTCAGAGGTCATTCCCAGAATGCTGTGACTTCCAGTGTCAGCCAGCAGTCTAGTGTACACTGCATTAGATTGCTTCTTGCAATTGGCGATGTGCAGCAGTCTATATACAGTCCATCTAGGCTCTTTCTTCAGAAAAATATGGAGAGGAGGTAGTTCTAGAAGGATTAAATTTCGAAATTTTGAAATTACCATGTTGAAGTCGAAATTTCGAGTTTAAAGTCGTTAATCCGAGTTCAAAGTCGAGATTTGAGATCAAAGTAGAAGTTTCGAGTGTGAAGTCGTAATTTCGAAATTAAAGTCGAAATTTCGAGATTCTAAATCATATGTGGCTCTTCTGCGCTTCTGTAGTTTTGTCTAGTGTATCGTTATAATTTGTTTCATGTCTTTCAATACGAAGCTATCGAGTCATTGGCAACAATAGATTTTAAACAGATTTTAACACATTTTTCTCGACCGTACTCAGGAATATCAATAGATTCATTTATTGCCAATGGTACTAATTCTGCCCATCAAACATCTTCCATATCTTTCTTTCTACAAACTCAGAGAGATATTTGTTTTCACTAGTAACAATTTGAGAAGAGTGGATATATTTACTATAAACATCATAATGTCTATATAATATATTGATTTCTTTATCATCTCGTAAGAAGATTTACAATACTTTAAAATATCTGAAATTTTGAAATTGCAAAACAGCGATAGGATCTAACTTTTGTGTTGGTTTCCAACCAGTTTTGTATAATAAAATTTCAACTTACCAAGTAACGTAACACCACCTGAGCACTCGTTTTACCATATTTTTCTGCAATTTCCTTCACTTTTGGGTCCAGAATAGTAGAAAGGGGACAATCTGGGGTATCAATACTCTGAGTACTTCGACCCAACGGGCAGAAACCAGTCACCACAATATCCCTCTCCTTACAGAACTGTATCAAACCCTTCTGATTGAAGTTTGGATTCACCTCCACTTGATTGACTACAGGTTTGATTTTGCAATTTTGTAGTATACGAGTGATCTGTTCTTCATTAAAATTTGACAAGCCAATGCTTTTGGCAAGACCTAACTTAACACACTCCTCCATGCCTTGCCACGTCTGCAAGTAGTCTACATCGCTGTAGGAAGTTGAATCTGGGGGCAAGAGATCAGCATCTTCCTACAGCAAAATTTTCAATTCATCACCCATATAGATTGCACATGAAA